ATTATTATTATTATTATTATTATTATTATTATTATTATTATTATTATTATTATTATTATTATTATTATTATTATTATTATTATTATTATTATTTTATTTAATATAAATATATTTATTTCATCTTTTTATTCTTTCTTCTCGACAAAGTCGACCCGACTACACATGATTGGTAGACACATAGAAAATTTAGGGACAACAGATTTTTATTCAGACTTCATGGGTTGTAAATTGACCAATTTACCCAAAACAAACAAATATCAGAACCATGGAGATACAAACACACAGAAACTTCTGAAAATTTCATTCCATCAATAACAAAAACACCATAAAACAGCTTATTAGAACTTGGCTCATAGCAAAAAGAAAGATGCATTCTCACTCCGATTTCCACGACGACAACGGTGGAGTGTCGGAGTTCTTGTAACTGTGGACCAAAATCTGTTCCGGCATTCTATCACCCTTGAAGGAAGCAACCGATTCAAGCTCAGCCATGTCCTCAGCCGTGAGTTTAACCGTCAGGGCTCCAAGGTTTTGGTTCAGGTTTTCGATCTTGGTTGTACCAGGGATAGGAGCAACGTCATCCCCTTGGTGCAGGACCCAAGCCAGTGCCAACTGCGATAGGGTGCATCCCTTTTTTTCTGCCATTTGGCTAACTCGCTCAAATACGACCTTATTGTGCTCAAAGTTCTCTCCTTGTAACCTCGGCAAAATCTATGAAACATGAAAAAAGAAAGAACAAGATTTGAATACGAATCATAAGCCACATATAAGCGTTACGTAGTGTACTATCCGTCTCACATGGATGGAATATTAGATTCGTGAACTCCTTATATGTTCAAAGTTGTGGGCTACCAATAACTTCTACTACGGTTTTAAGTTGGTTCAAAGATTATTGGTTTCCGGCAAATACCCTCAAAGATGAGATCAAAAAGCTTCATCTACCATCGAGTTGAGAAAGCTTTTACACCCATCGACAAGAAAATGAAAAAACGAGATTAAATTCACACGGAGTCGCAATATGCTACGAGTACGAACCTTTCTAAAGTCGTTATCTGCCAAATTGTCCATCAACTTTGGACCTGCTGCGAAGAACCCACTACCCAAAGGAGCGAAAGGAACGATCCCTATTCCTAGTTCCCTGGACAAAGATTAACATTACAACCGCTCGTTATTTCCTAAATATATGAAGTATATAATATCAAAAGATCATCGGTCCAACAGTATCCGGGTTACCTGCAAGTAGGAATAACCTCTTGTTCCGCATCTCTAGTCCATAACGACCACTCCAATTGTACGGCTGTTATCGGATGAACAGCGTGTGCTCTTCTGATGGTTTCTGGACCAGCCTCAGATAAACCAATATATTTAATTTTACCTTCTTCAACCAGTTTCTTGAGTTCACCCATCTACAAGATAAAAAATTGTTCTTCATTACAGTCTGCAACATCTGATCACAAATGTAGATTATGTAATGTTCTGCTCTAAAACCCAAAATCAATCGGGCTGTTTGGTTGATTTTCCATTAACACTTGTACGATAAGTCTGTGTGGATTAATCTGTCAGTACAAACCTAACAATCATGTATAGCTGACAAAATTACTCTCGTTAAGCTGCTAAGAAATAGGCCTAAGTTGTAATACAAAATCAATAAACCTAACTTTGAAATTCACCAAATGAGATCATTTTTGTGTTCTTATGAGACATCTGTAATGGACGTAGTTGCAATCTTGGTCAAATTTGTTCACAATTTATAGGATCATAGAGAGAGAAGCAAAATTAGGGACGAACTGTGATTTCGATAGGGGTTTTTGTATCGATCCGATGAACATAGTAAAGATCAATGTAATCAACATCAAGTCGCTTCAAGCTGGCTTCACAAGATGCCCTAACGTACTCCGGTTCTCCATGGATTTCCGTATTACCCATACTCGCCCCAAATATGATCCCAAATTTCGTAGCCAATTGAACTTTCTCTCTCTCAATTCCCTTCAAAGCCTGTAACAATCATGAATTCACAAACAAAATCAGTCAGATTCATCATCCATACCCTAATTATCAGATTGAAGCTACGAAGCATAATAATAACGACAATCAACAGACCTTTCCGACGAGGATTTCGTTGGTGTGAGGTCCGTAGACATCGGAAGTATCAAGGTGAGTGACGCCGGAGTTGATGGCGTGGTGGATGACTTTGATCATCTCTTCTTCTGGTTTGGCAGGGCCATAGCCACCAGACATGCCCATACATCCTAGTCCAAGAGCTGATACCTCTAACCCCTGCGATCCGAGCTTAATTCGTTTCACACCTGCCATTTTCTCTCTGGTTTTTGTGTTGATTTCAAACCCTAAAAGATGCACAATTCTATGAAATTTTAGGGAAATCCAGTTAAGCAAAGACGATCGAAACTATGCTGTGCTACTCAGTTGGAAGATTGTAAGCAAGAATTCAGTCTATATAACATCATAGAGTTGACTGATTGGCATGTGGACGGTCGTCGTTGATTCTCCGGACAACCGACGATGGGGACGCAATACAAGTGGAAGTTCAATAACGTATACTTCAACATAAGTGGCCGCCGTCGATTGACACTTGTCAAATTTTTATTTCTTTTTCATTCAACTACAAATTTGCTTTAAATGGAAATTGAATCAGGTAATGTATTTTTAAAACTTTTATTTTTATACCTAAATATAAAATTTTAAATATTTAAATACCCTGATAACAAGTTGAAGTATTAACTGGTTATCATGCTGATGTCACAAGTGAAGTAGTATCCTACTTAGTATTTTATGTGGTTTGTAAAAATAACAAGACTTGAAGTTATAAGATGATCATTATGGTGTGAAATATGTATGAGTTTGGTTCCTTTGTAACTAAAGAAGGAAAATTTTATCGATTTTTTTTACTTTATATAATCAAAATCGATTTTATGGTTTTGGATAAAAAAATGAAGATGTTGCTTAGTTAATGTTTTTATATTAACCTAGATATTCAACCCGCTATACGAGCCGGTTAGTCATAGAACGACCACTCATTTCGCAAGTAGTCCGGAGTCACCGCATACCTTTGTAGTCACAAGAGGATTTTTATTGTTGAATCTTTAAAATAGGGAATTTATTAGATTTAGAATGTAATTTCTTTTACAGATTTTTTAACTTTTAATTATCTATTATAAAAATTATAGGAAATCTATTGTGACAAATTTTTTAAATTGACTGTATTAATTACATTTGAACTTACGGATTGACATAAAATGAGTCCAAATATTATCGTTTTTTAAGTACGTGTTGGATAAGAGCTAAATAGTATTTTGGTCATCGCATCTTTTTTCTATTCTATTTTAGAAAGAAAAAAAGAAGGTTGAAACGTTTTGGTTGAACAGCGATAGTTGAGTGGAAGATGATTACGATGATGATAGTGGGTGTCGATTGAATGCTGATAACGACGATGATACGATGGATAAAGAAAAGTACATAATAAAGAACACAGGGTCTTAAAAAAACTATCGACATTGTTTGTCATCCGTTTGTTATTTTTCATGTAAAATTCGTAGTTTTAATTAACGATTTAGAGTTTTTAGCATAAATATATAGTTTTTCACCAGTAACTTTGAAATAAAAATTTGGACAAATTGCATGAAAAAAATAACGTTAGGCCAAAGACCCTTTGATTATTTAGTGAGGTTTGAACTCTTGACCTCCTAGGAGGGCCAAGACTCATATATCGTTAGGCCAAAGACCATTTGATTATTTAGTTTTATTTATACAGACAACTTAATTCATACAAAGCTTAATTTATACAGAATAACAATCAAACATTCCGTTAATTATCTTTCCAAGACGACAACGGAGGAGTCTCCGAGTTCATCCAAGTGAGTTGCATGTGTGCATTCCTTTCGCCCTTCACCATGTCACTTGAAGCAAACGATTCAAGTTCAGCCATCTCCTCTACTGTTAGCTTTACAGACAAAGCTCCAATGTTTTGGTCGAAGTTCTCGACCTTCGTGGTACCCGGTATCGGAACCACGTCACTTCCTTGGTGATGGACCCACGCCAGGGCTAGTTGTGCCGCGGTGCAACCTTTCCTTGTTGCCATCGAGTTGACTCGCTCGAATACGGTCTTGTTGTGCTCTACATTCTGAAACCTAGGCACTGCAAAAGTTTCATGCGTTCAGTCGAATACTAATGCTATATTAATTAAGGGTTCAAGGATTTTGAGCTTAAATCCACTTCTTATCAAAATGCTTGTTGGTAAGCCTGAAACATAACCGAAAAAGCAACTAATAAGCCCGAGCCCACGCCAGTCCCAACCTTAATGCCTGAAGGACCTGAACGGACCAACTTTTCTTTTCAAAGCCTAGTTAAAGCCCAACCTAAAAAAACCCCGATCAGGCCCTCTTTCAACTTCAGAAGGTCTGGATCTTCTGAAGTTGAAAGAGGGCCTGATCAGGGTTGTTTTATAGAAAGATTCAAAGACAGTTCCACATAGCCTACCATGGTATCATAGCCCCGAGTATAGCACCTCATAGGAACACAACACAACCTTTCGCCTCCGTGTAGCCTCTATATGAGGTGGGGCGTGTCCAAAGACATGTCAGCATCCCACATTAACTAGACACTAATCATCAAAATCCGTACATATGTTGGAACGTTCTCCCTCTCTACAAGGCCTCTTAGAAAGAGATACATACCTTCCTAAAGTCCTCCGTTACCAAGTTCTCGACCAACGTAGGACCTGCGGCCAAGAATCCCCAGCCAATCGGACTATAAGCAACAATCCCGATACCAAGTTCTCTGCAAAAGATACCCGAACAAAGCATCATCAAACAACATATCGCTTTCTTGTCGATTCGTGTCATTATATACCATCAACAACCAAAAAGATTTAACCTCTTATGGATCACCTGCAAGTTGAAACAATTTCATCTTCCACATCTCTTGTCCATAATGACCACTCATTTTGTACTGCTGTTATTGGATGAACAACATGAGCCCTTCTGATTGTTGAACCAGATGCTTCTGATAATCCAATATACTTCACTTTACCTTCTTCAACCAGTTTCTTTAACTCTCCCATCTTTTTATTGCAGTTGGTCACATAAACAAGTGTCAAGAAAATCACAGTCCTTGTTTGGTAAACATAAGCTAACTTATTTTTTAAGTACTCCTTTAGATGGACATAAGCAGACATATTTTGTATTCGTTTGGATGAGCATAAGCTAATTTATTAAAAATGCTAGTTGGAGCAGCGTTTCAGGTGATTTATAATAATTATTATTTATTACTAATATTAATATATCTCAATTAATAGTAATTGAAAAATTATTATTAAATTCTAATTTTAATTATACATTATATATTAATATTAATTATTTAAAATTATTAATAATCATATCAATTATTTTTATATTATTAGTTTT